TTTATCTATCTATCTATCTATCTATCTATCTATCTATCTATCTATTTTCATCATCTATATATCTATCTCATTATGCCTCTTATCTCTCTCTCTCCATATATATGTATATATAAATATATATATGTCTACACATATTTATCTCCTTTTGCACGTTATCTATCTGTCTACCTCAGTCTGTTCATAACTAAGTTTGTTCATTATCAATCTCGGTCTGCATACTCTCTCTTTCACTCTCTTTATATATATATATATATATATATATATATATATATATATATATATATTCCAGTTCGCACATCTATGTATCAGAGTTTGCGCATTATCTAAGTCTGTTCATATATATGTTATTCGTCTTCCCTTGAAGTCATATTCAACGCACAGAATTTTAAGTGAAATCAATTTGTCTCCCACTCTGTCCTTATCATTTGAAGTCATCAGTGGGACAAAAAACAAAAAACAAAAAAAGAAGCGAACACAGTCGAAATTAAGGCGTGCCTAGTGGGGATCGAACGCACCAATCGGTCGTAATTGATCTAGCAAGCAAGCTTGCTAACTGTTGCTTCACGTCGAAGTGCCCAAAATAATTTACTCCGCGTAGCTTGGTTGTGGCACAAGGCCGAAAGTATGGGGCACCCAGTGAGAATCGAATTTACTATTCAGTCGTAATTGATTTAGCGAGGCCAGCTTGCTAATCATTATACCCAATCAAAGCGCGTAAAGTGATTTACGAAGTCTAGCTTAGTTGTGGAACAAGGCCATAATTATGGAGCACCCAGTGCGGATCGAACTCACTATTCAAAAAGTACACTATATAAAAAAGAGAGAATGATTGTAAGCGAAATTCTAACTCAGACCCCACATATCTAGAAATCTGCTTCCAACTTTAACGACATTACGAAAATAAAATTATATTATCATTCACCCTGTTTTTTGTTGTTGTTGTTTTTCGTTGTTTAGTTTTTGTTCTTTTGAAAACAGGTCATCGCCTTTGATCTTTGTCCGCGTGTGCTGTTCACCTTTGGCAATCAAAGGCTTTTGCAACTGGTAAAATCAAAGTTAAAGTAAGTTAATGAAATTTCGAAACACACTTCCTGTAAATCGATTGATATTCCGGAAGTCGTAGCTACATTATAACACGATTTTGATGTGACAGTTCAGCGCTCACCTCAATATAATACTGCCATTTTTCTTTTCTCTCTCTTTTCTTTCTGTTTGTTTATTGCTTCAATGCAGACGTCACAGTCAAACGTGATGGTTGTTTTATAGTTGGGCCGTTCATGTCTACACATATATTTCATGAAGTGCTTATCTTTTATTGTTAGTCAAATTTATTCGCCAAATCAATGTGAACTCCCCCGAAAGACTGCATCGCGTCAATTTTTAGACTTGGGAGTTTTGATAGCAAAACACAATTTTTCCATGATATCCAAATGTTGAGCGTTTCTATTAAACATTATATAAACCAAAATGGCGTAAATCTAAAAAGCCGTTACCATTATTCCACGGAATTTTTAAAGTTTTCCCAGATCTCCGAAAAAAATTTTACTGTGTATCCAGTTAACTGTTTTGGAATGTTCGATTTACGCCTTTTTCGCTTTTATGAAAAACCTCCATTAGTACGGGATCCCCCGTTATCCGAAATGGTATAAATCAAATAAAAAATACTATTAATTTAGAGGTGAATACTTTTTTTTAGCATAACCAAAATATACACTATTTACATTGTTCGGACTATTATCCTCATCTTTGTTGCCATATTTATTACAACGTTTCGGCCGTTGTACGCTCCGGCCTTCTTCAGGTGGTTGGAATGTCGAACTGAACACTTTATTTCGCTCGCTGGGGTAGACTGTTCTAGTTCCATGTGCCATGTTTAATGGATGTCAGTTATCAGTTATTGCCTTAACCAGGTATTGAACTCAAACTCTTTGGGTTCTGTCACTGGATCTAACTAACGCCTTTATCCACTGTGACATGTGTCCTTAAGAACAGCGATATGGCAACAAAGATGAGGACAATAGTCCGAATAATGTAAATAGTGTAAAAACACCAAATTTAAAAATATATAACTCTAAGGCCAACTAAATGGTTAAGGTACGTAGATGACACCTTCATACTCTGGTCACACCAGGAAGAAGTCCAGGTTCTACTGGATCATGTGAACTCAATAAGAGCTTCGATACAGTTCACGATGGAGAAAGAGAGTAATAACACACTCCCATTCCTGGATGCTTTAATATCTCGAACAGAGCATGGGTTCAAACATCCGTATACCCAAACCGACATTCACCGGACAGTACCTCAATTTCAACTCGCACAATCTATACAGCGTAAAGAAAAGGATCGTCTGCTGCTTACAACACCGAGCAATAGTCATAAGTGGCGACCAAGAGACATTAGATAAAGAATTAATCAGTATAAGCAGTACCCTACAACATAACAACTACTCTGGGTACATGGCAGCAGCCCCAATAAACTGGGATAGGCGGGTACAAGAGGAGGACAACAATATTCAGAAAACAGTCTGCCTGCCTTATGTGAAGGGGTTATCGGAGAAAATACAAAGGATCTGTTGTCCATATAACATTAGAACAACCTTCAAAAGCTTGACGACACTTCGCAGATATCTCTCCCGAGTAAGATCCCCCTGCATAGAGAAGAACATGACTAAAGACTGTGTGTACTCTATCCCATGCAGCTGCGGAAAGGAATATAAAGGGCAGACAGGCCGCTCCATAAGGTAAAGCTTCAAGAAAAACCAGAAAGCTGTAACACGAGGTGAAATGGAGAAATCAGGCGTGGCAGACCACATATGGAGAGAAAAGGGAGCTCACCGTCCTCGGTGGGATCAGACCGAAATCATAGACAAAGAAAACTATTAGAAAATTCGTAAACTTAAGGAATCAGCACATATGATAGGCCCCAAAAATCTCCTGGGCCGACCAAGCGTAGAAATGAATATAGGAACCAGTAATAAGGAGTACCAGGGAAAAGCAATAATAACAACGATAATTGCAATATGAGCTCTGGTAAAAAAATCATGAAATGATAACAGCAAAAATTGCAATATGAGCACTGGTAAAAAAAATTGTTGAAGATATTAAGTTCATACGTCCCAGAAATTCATACACAGCTGTCTTTAAGGAAACATGGTTAGTTTGATCCAGTGACAGGACTCAAAGAGTGTGAGTTCAATACCTGGTTAAGGCGGTGGAAAACTTGAAGAAGGGAATTAACAGGAGATAACTGATAACTGACATCCATTAGACCAGCGAACGAAATAAAGGGTCCAGTTCAACATTCCAACCACCTGAAGAAGGCCGGAGCGTACAACGGCCGAAACGTTGTGGTAAATATGGAAACAAAGATGAGGATGATAGTCCAAATAACGTAAATATTGTACATAATACCTCATCTCAGAAATATAGACAATTGTAATGAAAATATATTATGCCATATGCAACTATCCCCGTTTTTCGAACGTTGATTTTTACACCTTTATTTATTTTATATATATATATATATATATATATATATATATATAAATAAAGAAATGGACAAAAGTCCGACAATTTATTTATTGAAGACATTTTATGTTTAACGTTCTTTTTTTTATAGATACAAGTATTTAAGTAAATGCTCTATTTATAATAAACAGTATTAACTAACATTTACCGGCCTAAATATCCGAGAAATTTTCATAGAAAATATTCGTCCTTTGACAGGATTCGAACATGCATCCTATACGGAACTGTCATTTACGCTGACGTGCCTTAACCGTCTCGGCCACAAAGGAGCGTTCGGTAGGCAAGGTCGAATTTACTGCTTATAAACTTCAATCTTCCATGAATCTCGTACATTCATAACTGCTCTGGCGTATGAAATGTAAATAAATGATGTCATATATTAAGAAATGGACAAATCCGACAATTTATTTATTAAAGACATTTTTATGTTTAACGTAAATGACGGTTCCGTATATGGAGAGAGATATGATCACGTCGTCGTCACGTGGGCTATGTTGTGAAAACGTATTCGAAGATGATTTCCAAATATTAAAATATTAAAAAAGTCGATTGAACTATTTTATATAAGCAGTTCAATAAATCTAAGAACCTATTGATCTCTGCGCATTCCTATATCAACGGAAGGGACGACGACGTGATCATATTTAAACGGAACGCTGATCTTATATAAAAATTTCAGTTATCTGTTTGGATTAGTTGTGCTCTTATGTCCATCGTCTTTTCGTGTTGAATTTTTATATGTTCTAATGTTAATTATGTTTAAATGAAAATGTCCTGAAGATGGTCTAAAATAGACCGAAACGTCCGACGTTGACTTTATATTAACATTAATACAGCATAATTGTATATTAAGATTTTTGTTTTTTCTGTATATTTTTCTTCATACTGTCGGATCTATATCCATATATTTGCTTACATACTTTATTCTATATATTTTGCTACCCGAGTTTTGGATCTTCTGACCTTCATCAGGCAATGGTTATTTCTACATATTATTTAAAGGAATGAATTTTTACTTGCCCTTTTTACTCTTTTAAACATTGTCTTTTGTATATAGTAGTATAGAATCTATTTTGAACTGATGGAAAAATATCCCTTTGCTGGTATATATATCGCCAGTGTGTGTTTATCTAAAAATAAGTACGCTTAAAATAAACTTCATCTCTACGGCTTAGGGGTAGAATCTTCGACTGATGCCAATTCAGCCGGGTTTCGATCCTTGCTAGACGTCTAGCAACACTGAAGAACTGTGTTACAATGGAACAGGTTGTCTGTGGATGAAAACAATATATACCCAGAGTTACTAAATTTTGAATTTCGCAACAAGTGGATTTTAGGGTTTATTTTTAAAGACCATTGCTTCTAAACGTTGAATTATGCAAAAATGTAAAATTTGGAGCTGCTTCTTAAAGTCCAGGGTAGCAAATTTAGAATTTAAGTACTTCTCAATTTTGGGGCTACGCTTGAAACCCCAGGGTTGCTAAATTTTGAATTTCGCAACAAGCGAATTTTCGGGGTCATTTTAAAAGACCGTTGCTACTAAACATTGAATTTTGCTTCTCCTATATTTGGGGCT